TATACGGACACTTGACATATCTGAGAAGTATAGTTGGGGCAGCGCTTGTCTTGTATGCTTATATCATAATATTTGTTCGGCTGTTATTTAACAAGATAGAAAGAAGCTTAGTGGCCACTCACATTATTGCAGGTATAATATGTTAAAAAGAAATTATGTTATGACTATATGTTTAATTATATTATTATAACATGTTAGTATTTTATTAATGATATACTTTTTTATTTCAGGTTCGAGCATGGTCTAGACTATACATGATAGCTCCTTGATTTAAATCCATAAAATATATTGATCTTGACCCTCAGATACTTCCTAATGGTCTAGTACTACCGGCTGCTCCTTATGGAGCTAAGTATGTAAATTATTTATATTTTATTAGTATCATTATTATATCGAAATTTTATTATTTATAGTTCTTAATATAATGTATAATATTCATTTTTTTTTAGATGGAGTCTTGGTTAACATGATTTTACACCAACCGTGCATAATTGTGTATCTGTTATTCCGGATATTCTTGATCATGAAGGAGATGGACATGTACTTTTATTAATAGTGCAAACTTTTTTGTGGTATAATAATTTTAAACAATTTATTTATGTAATGTTGTATTTATTTTCCATACAGTTTAATTGACGACCTTATGAACCTAACTTGTACAATCCCTTACCGCATTATTGTCCTTCAACTTTGTTTCGGTACAAAGGACTTTTATTTTACGAGTGATGCATCGAGCATCTTCGCTTAAATAGGGTACTTTGACAATTAGGTTTACTTCAGCATATTCCGGATAATTCATTGATAGTGGAGAATAGAAACACACATAGTTCTTCACGAGGCTCAAATGCTAGAAATTGATTGCGAATTAATCAAATATATATTCAACAGTGGTATGAGCCTAACTTGGTGATCGGTGAATTAAACTTGCATGATACGCCGTATACTCGAGAATATCTTCAATGGTATAGAACTCATTCCAGAAGTTTTATTTATAATCCCGAATTGCATTAACGAATTAGCTATCCACCTGGACTACTATCTTACAATCATTTGCGGTAAATTTTTCTTTATTTAATGCAATATAATTATTGCATTTTGTTCTCTCTTCATAAGGTTGGTTATTCTTCATCGCATTTCAACCTATACATATATACATTTCAAAAATTACAATTACAAGCCAACATTATATTTTTAATATATCCCAATAATAAATATATGCAACCAAAAAACTTACCTCTAGTGAATCTAACTCAATAGTTACAACTCGATGATGCTTCATCGGTCGCTTTTGATTGCGCTAGTTGCCTCGCACGTATTTGGCCCCGATCCATTTTATTTCGAATGTGTGTAGTGCGATCACGACCTCTTCTTTTAATCCTACATTGGGTAGGATTGTGTACCAATTGAAATGAAGCTGATTCCCAAAATGACTCATCAGGATATGCATGAAATTGAACAATATATGTGTTTATTCATGAATCAATTGAGTAATAGTCACGCACATATCATTTTCCATTCAAATGGAACATTTGAGACACACCTCTAGCACATGTGAACATGGTACCCATCTAATGCCCATCGACCACAAGAGCAAAACTTTCTTTTAATCGAAACAATATTCTCTTTTGATACCTGGCCAACACTATCAAGTGTAAATACCTTTGCCTCATATTCATCTTCATTTACTATCACAATCATATTTTTTCGGCTTTCTGCTCTGAGTCAAGATATTTTATGCGTGCCCATGGGGACCACTCATAACCAGAGTCTTACTTATCTCGAGCATCATGAAGTCGTTTAATGAAAAAACAACAACTCGATCGTACGTCAATTGTACAACAGCAGTGATAGGTAGTCGTCGAGCCCTTTTCAATGCCCCATTGATGCATTCAGAAAAATTGGTTGTTAATATACCATGTCACCACCCTTTACCGTAGACAAGTGTCCATTTACTCTTCTCAATTTTCATAAGCCAATTATAAGCTGCCGGCTTCAAAAGCTAGATTGCCGCTAATGTTTCGTCAAACTCTAACGGATCAATGGATGCTCCTGCCCTCCACCACATATCTTTCAATCCTACATTTTTAATTTTTTGGTTGAAGTTAGAACATATATGCCGTAGGCAAAATTGATGTCGACCACGAGGTGGGTGAAATGTAAAAATACGATTAACTGCATTCGTGATTCCAACATATCTATCTGAAATTAGACATGTATGATATCTATCTTGCACAATGTACCTGCATACACAATAATCAAATAAATATCATTAGTAGAATTTTCAAACTATATCTAATATACAACTTAATAAATTAAATTACCTAATTACTAGCTGGAGAAACCACATCCAAGATTCAGTACTCTCTGCATCAATGACAAAAGCTAATTGCAACACATGATTATTGACATCTATAGTAACAACAATCAATATAACATGCTTGTATTTTGCATACAAATAAGTCTCATCCACACTAATCACATTCCAAAAACGACGGTATGCCTCAATGCAAGGTCCTAATGCCTAAAATACATATCATAATGTGTATTTCTCTTGATGTGCTGCTTCTACATGAACCCACTCAACAATCGGTATGTACTTTTGAAATGTCTTCATATAAGCTGGAAGTTTTTGTACCGAACTCTCTCATGTCCCGTAAATATGCTCAATTGCACGTTTTAATCCATGTCATGCCTTTGAATAAGATATATCAAAATCATATTCTATTTTCACTGCTCTTTTCACATTCACTAGCTCGTATGCCGTATCGACTAACAAATTCCTTGAACAAATCCGTTATTATGTTAACATCCAAATTTCTATACTCCATCGACGCATCATCCGGAATACATGTGTGATCAGGCATCACCGTAATAAGTTGTCAACATTCCAAATGTGGCTTATATGATGCAGTCACACCCAATCCACAATTTTTTTTTTCCATAATGCTTAAAGTTTACCCTAAAAACTGTATGAGCGTTATTTGTCATTGTATATTCTCTCCTGGTTACTCGCACCGAGTAATCCTTTATAGTCATCTGCATTTGCTTTTTATCACTGAATGTCATCCCAGAAACAACATTATTTTTTGTGTACACATTCCATTTGCAACTAGGGGTATCATATGTATCTTGTAGAAACTCCTCCCGAGGCAAACACCGCTATTGTATTCGAGTGATGTTCAATCTCACCCCCTGAAAGTGGTATAGTACGTGTTTCGTGACATCTTGATGACCCTAGATTTGGCCATTCTACAACACCACTAGTTTTTCTGTCATCATTTTATCCCCCCGGGTATTTCATCATCTAATTCTGAATTCTGATTCCCTCACAATCAACATCTAATATTAGTAAATCATCACTTGTTGGATCATATATTCTGTTGTAATCCATACTAGGAGCATCAACAATTGCATTTTCATAATTTCTTTGGAATTGAACAAATAATTCCAAACACTTGTAATCATTGGTTGAATTCAAGAAATGTTCAAGAGTAACCGTAGTGACGGTAATTAACCTCTATTTCTGAATATCCTGGTCATGCGTCCAAATGTATGGAATTTTCAAATAATAGAATACCGACGTCGATCTTTTCTAGGTCACATAAAAAATAATACCTTTTAAATCCTCAAGTGTACTATTACGTCCAATAAAAATCATATATTTGGGATCACAATCATATTCTATTATACCAGAATTTCAAATAATATTCTTATCTCAATATAATAAAATATCAATACTGCTATCGACACTGTACATCGTTCAAAAAATAATAATAATAAAAAAAATATTAATGATACATTCATAAACAAACACATATATTATTTAAAAATAAAAAAATTATAAATTTCATATTAAAATTATCAATATCAAAATACATAAAAAAAAAATAATAAAATACAATATAAATATATCATATATAATATTGTATAAATATATAGAAGATTTTCTAAAATTTTACAAAACTAACAAAATATTTTAAATCAATCAAAATTTGTATTTTAAAAATAAATAAATTTACATGAATAAATATACAAGAAGATAAAAGAATAAAAAAAGAAAAAAAAATACTTACCGAATAGGATGAAGTTCTCGAAAGAATAGGATGAAGTTGTCGAAAAAATATTTATAATGTGAACTGCTGCCGTATAATGAATTAAGGAAATAAAAAGAATGTTTATAGTGTGAACTGCTGCCGTATAATGAATTAAGGAAATAAATGAGTTTATTAGTATAACGAATAAAATAGTTCTTGAAACTCTTTAAATTGACATCATTGAGAACTCTTGAAATTATTATTAAATTCAGATTGTTGTAAACAGTAGCCCAAATCAAAATAGAGTTCTTATAACTACTTTAATTTATCAAAATTAAATAGTTTTAAGAATACTTTAAAATCTATATTTTAAAAAATACATTTCACTTAAGCATTATTTTAAAAAATCCTATTTCTATCCCGTGGCCCTCCAAACAATTCAATCCCACAAGTGACTCAAACATTGAATCTACTTTAATTTAGCTTAAATCACTGTTTTTTTTTTCAATAAATAAATATTTTTATTTATATTTAAAATTAATTTATATTAATTATAAATAAAAATATTTTAATTTTATTATCTATTAAATAATATTTATATTATATATATTTTATTGAAATATAATTTTTAAAAAATATTATACATATATTTAAAATTTTATAATTATATATATTAATTTTTATTTTAAAAATATTATTAATATTATTCATATAAAAAATAATATAATAATTTATTATTAACTTATTAATTTTTATTATCTTAAGAATTACTTATGAAACGCGTTACTGGGGCCATCTGATATAAAAATATATACTCCATATATATATAGTTATTTAAAATAATAAAAAAAAAAAAAAAAAAAAAAAAAAAAAAAAAAAAACCCAAATGTAGACTGCCAAACACACCCTATAAAATTTCCCTGTCGGTGGGGCAAGTAAACAAGGAATTAAACACGTCACCGACGGCGCACTTTAGCAACGCACCTTTACCTTACCTTGTAGCTCACCATCATCATCATCACTCCAGTCGAGTCAACACCATCCGTCCCCCAAAACACACTCTGTTCTTAGAGAAAGACCGAACCAGCGACGGCAATGGCGGTCAAGACCTGACCTGACCTACTGCTTCCCTCCTCCTTCAGGTAATTTCTATCTAGATCTCTCTTCTCACCCGCTCAATTCACTCAGATCTACACGCATTTCGCTGATTAGGTTTTTCATCTTTTTGCTTTCGATTCCATATTTAGTTCGGTGTTTGAGCGTCACAGTTTGGCGAAAACGCGATTGGATTGGATTGGATTGGAAGGATTTGATCCAAAATGTTAGGCCGGCCGTCGTTTATGCTGTACCGGACGGGGAGTTTCCGCGCCGAGAACATCGGCCAGAACGCCATGGCCATGATTGGAAACCTATGCTTCACACTCTTCGTCGTCGGCGTTCTCGTCTTCACCATAATCGCCGCCACATACCAGCCGGAGGATCCTCTCTTCCACCCTTCCAATAAAATCACCACTTTCCTCACTTCCAAAAGCAACGCCACATTCGTCTCCGACGTAGGCGTCGTCAAGACCGGCGAGGACTTCGTCGCCTCCAACCAGACCGCATTTGCCACGTTCATCAACATCACCGATGTTGACAAGGTGATTGAATCCGAAACTGTCGTCGCCAAATCCGACGACGACGAAGATTCCTCTTCATCAGGAACCGCCGAGAGCGCCAATAAGGAATGTCGAATCGATGAACCGATCAATTGCCGCGATCTGGACGTCTTCCATTTGCTGATGAGGTCTGCCATTGAAGCATTCCCAGACATCCATTTCTACCGCTTCGGAAAGCCCGTCCCCGGCTACAACGAGACCTCCTGCCACATGGCCTGGCGATTCCGACCAAAGGATGGAAAAGCTGCTGCATATTACAAGGATTACAGGAGTTTTACCGTTGTAAGATCTGAGAATTGCAGCCTAAGTGTGGCCGGAATCGGCGCATACCACTCCGGCGGGAATGCAAGAAAGAGGAAAGGAAAAGGACGGGGGAGGAGACGCGGTAAGGCCGACAAGAATAAGGATAGTGACAACAAGGATGCCTTTGTCCCGACAAAGGTGGAGGATGCTCCGATTGCGCTGCCGGAGGTTGGAGAAGTTGTCGAAGATACGCTTCCTACGATAGAGTCGGAGAGTTCATTCAGCCACGGGAAGTATTTGCTCTACTCGGCAGGCGGCGATCATTGCAAAAGCATGAATCAATATCTATGGAGTTTCACATGTATGCTGGGAGAAGCACAGTATTTGAATCGAACTTTGGTGATGGATATGAACCTTTGTTTGTCGAAGATCTACGCCTCGTCCGGACAGGACGAGGAGGGCAAAGATTTCCGATACTACTTTGATTTCGAGCACTTGATGGATTCGGCGTCCGTGCTCGATCAGAAGCAGTTTTGGTCGGAGTGGACGAAATGGCAACAGAAGGACGGCTTGAGTCTCCATCTCGTTGAGGATTTCAGGGTCACGCCGATGAAGTTAGCTGGCGTGAAGGACACTTTGATTATGCGAAAGTTTGGGGCGGTGGAGCCGGATAATTATTGGTACCGTGTTTGCGAGGGCGAGGCAGAGTCAGTTATCGAGCGGCCATGGTCGATGGTTTGGAAATCAAGGCGACTTTTGGACATCGCATCCGCCATTGCAGCTAGGATGAACTGGGATTTCGACGCAGTTCACGTAGAACGCGGGGAGAAGGCGAATAACAAGGAAATGTGGCCGAATCTCGAAAGGGACACCTCCCCCGAAGCTCTTTTGGCGACATTGCAATACAAGATCGAAAACGGGAGGAACTTGTACATTGCGACGAACGAACCGGATATATCGTTCTTCAACCCGTTGAAGGACAAGTACTCGACGCACTTTCTAGACGAGTATAAAGACTTATGGGATCCGAACAGCGACTGGTACACAGAAATGACGAAGCTCAACAACGGAAACCCCGTTGAATTCGACAACTACATGAGGATATCGGTGGACACGGAGGTGTTCTTGAGGGGCAAGAAGCAGATTGAGACTTTTAACGATCTAACCAAGGACTGCAAGGATGGCATCAACACGTGCGCGGCAAGTGCAAGTTGATCGAGGTTAAGTGTTTCTTGAACCTTAAGTGTTTTTGTTTTGATGCATTGCATTGTTTGTGTGTTTGTTTGTTTATTGTTCTGCTAGTGTAGCTGGAGATTGGTTATAAATGTTTGGATGATTGATTTCTGCTATGAAAAAGAACCCCCCATAGCCATAGGTAGATTGGTTTAATTAATTTGTTGTTTGTTTGCTCGATTTAATTATATACCATTGTTGCTTACTTTACTTATTGTCGAGTAGTTTGATGTTTTTATTGTTTGTTGTTGTTGATCTATGATCCATTCTATGATCTTATATTGCTGGCTTAGTTAATAAGATTGTTACTCAACTTCATCTATTAAGCTGTAATTTGAGGTTATCTTTGATGATATGTTTTCAATGATAAATAAATACTCCCTCCGTCTCATATCTGCTAGACGTTATTTTAGTATTTTAAGAGGAGTGTAATTAGTAGATAATTAAGAATGTATTAGTGAAAATAATTATCTTATAATATAAATAATTATAAATTAAGATTAAGATAACTGATTAGTTTAATTAAAATTAAAAATATATATATATATAAAATTTAAAATGAGATTAAAGTGTGTAATTATTTTTCAAAAAAAGAAAGTGACATAAAATATGAGACAGACAGAAACGTCAATGTGGACATGATACGTGGGACCGAGGAAGTAATAAATACGATATCTAGGGTTTGGTCGCTTTGTGTTTTTGGATTGATGCTCCTTTTTCATAAAGCACTGAGTTTGTAATACAAAATATAATATTTGCAAAAAGATAAAAAATTATATATTTTATTTTTTTAATAATATTCATGAAAAATTGTTTAAATTGGTAACTTAACTTTATACACATATGGTGCAATATAAAAGCAGGTGTGGTGCACTTTATATATCTTATAATCCAACCACCACACTCTAACAATGTCAAGTATATTATATACACATAGCTATTATGTAGCTGATCGTGGATGCTCTTTATTATTACACGAATCAATGGCGTCGACAAATTGTAGTATAATTCTTGGCCATGTATATGTTACTCCTACCTATATATATATATATAGGTAGGATATGTTGAAATAAAATGAGTACAACACAATATTGCTTTATCTCTCTCCGTACTACACTGCACTAATAATAATAATTTAACTCATAAATCACATAACATTCACACATCTTTCACCATTCATCATCATACATACATATATATATATATTTGCTCATGATATACATATACATATATATTCTATACTTACCAATATTAATATATTATTTATTATATAACACGTTATCAGCCTCTTGTCCATTTTATTTTTGGTAAGTTTTATTTTTATACTATCTATATTATCTATTTTCTAAACTATGGAAAATCTTGCAAAATTTTCTTTTAAACCTCTGTCTCTCACCGGCAATAATTTTTTGACTTGGTCCCTAAATGTAGAAATGCATCTGGTTTCAATGAGCCTTGTTCATATAATTGCCAGTGAAAATACGCCTACAAGCAAAGATCGGGCTAAGGCTATTATTTTCATCCTTCATCATTTGGACATTCCTCTACAGTCTGAATATTTGACGGTGAAAGATCCATTAGATTTGTGGAATGAATTGAGGGAGAGATTTGGGCACTTGAAATATATCACTCTCCCCAAAGCCCGACATGATTGGCTTAACCTGCGGTTGCAGGATTTTAAAACTGTTACAGAGTACAACTCTGCTATCCATCAGATTACATCTCAATTGAAACTCTGCGGATAAATTGTTACTGAGAATGATAAATTGGAAAATACTCTCTCTACCTTTCATGCTTCTAATGTTGTGCTGCAACAACAGTATCGTGAGAAAAATTTTCAAAAGTACTCACAGTTCATTGCATGTCTTTTATTAGCTGAGCAAAATAATGAGTTATTGATGAAAAATCATCAGTCCCGGCCCACTGGTTCTAGTCCGTTCCCTGAAGCGAACGTGACATTTTCTGAACGAGGCCGAGGACGTGGTAGAGACCGTGGACGTGGTCGCGGTACCATCAATCATCCCGACATCAACATTCGTCGCCATGCAACACATCCGGATGTTAGCAACCCTCCGCAAAATCGAAATGATCAAACGCCTCTTAACCAACAAGGTCGTGGTCTACGCGAAAGCTTCACCAACCCATACATCAAAAAACCATTACAGGATGACGATGATCACATTTATCTTGCCCAGAGGGTCGGGGTCAACGCCGAACTTTCATTAAACCGGTGGCTGAGGTGTTTTCTAATGATAAAAATTATGACGTCGACTATAAAAGAGATGTGGAGGCATACTAACCTTGATCACAAGTTCCACGGTCGTGCGTCAATTCTACTGGAAAATAAGACATAATAGAAAGCATAATGTCCTGGCGTGATCTAGAATTGCAATATCCTGATATTTGTCTGTAACAATTAACGATTACTTGCAACCTGAAGAAGAGAACAACAAGGACGATGATTTGGTTCTATTCCACCTTCCACCCGATACCCAAAAAGTAATTAAAGAAAATCCAAATCAACCAGGTGTTATAGTTGTTGTATTGGATAATGGAAAACGAGAGTCCCAACATCTCAGTGGTCGGACATCGCCCCCAAAGAAATCAAGATCCCCACCTGATGATTCTGCCCGGAAGCCGAGTATGCATACATTGTTTGATAATGTAGCTGCCAAATCTATAGTCCAGAAAAAGGACCAGACGCCAGATCGACAGATGTGGTCGGACTATGTCCCAAGACATAGAGGAAAAGTTCCACATCCAAATCTCCATGCAATAGGAATAATGACTATCAGCCCAGCTCATCACAAAGCAAAAATCCTATCATCACAACGCGGAAGGAAGATTCTACTGAAACTCCATAAGTAAAAAAAAATATAATACCAGAAGACACAGGCAAAGATCCCTTTAATCCTTATAGCCTTGTTTTATCTTTAATCCAATTTGGAGATATCACGAAGGAATATTTGGATGGAATGTGACCAGAAGGGTGGACCGCCGAAAACAAGAAATACCTCGAGGAGTTGGATACAGACATTGCAATGATAGAGGAACAACTCCAGTTGGACGACCTTCTGATTGAGGATGGTAACACAACTGCATAAATATCTATGATTGTGGCCGTTCCAACCTACAATGAATATCGGACCAAAATCGATACATTGGTGGAAGACAATGAGCCATGGACGATTCTAGCTACAGACGACTTAGATACACAATTTTACGCCCCATCCTCCAATTGACTTAGTCGCACGGTCATTTAGGGATTAGACCCATTGTAGTTGAGACGTATTTGGTCTAATAATTCGTGTTAGGTGTTATTCCACTCATTAGAGTAGCTACTAGTGAGGTCTACCGGTAGTTTAGGATCATATGTCAAACTTTAAACGTGATTCCGTTAGGGCGTGCAATGAGGAGTAGAGTTTACGAGTTTCCTCTGGATGATTCCAGATTTCACGGATTCTACTATTGGATTCATTCAACTCATTGTGTTCCATCTACTTTACATCAATAATTAATGTTTTGGGATAGAGATAAGGTCGAAATGGTGAATGAGAATCCAACACCATTTGGACACAACCCCAGACTATACGAATCGATGTTTACCTTAAAAATATAGAGCCTGTGACGACAATGGCCTCTTGGAAACGAAGCCATGGCACCTTTTCCAATTCACACCTCATTGATTTAAGATGGTATATACGGCCCAAGATGAGGTCGACCCCAACAAATAAAAGTTAACATGTCAGTAGCAATCCAATAATTGTATCAACGGCTAAAAAATACTTTCGCGTATACATCCCCGACCGACACATTGATTGCTACACACAAAACCGAGGCCATAAATAAATAATGGCCTGATGATAATCCTTCTCCTGTCATAAAAAAATACCCTGCGGCAAAAGCTTAGGATCCCTTGGCTCAAACCATGCCTTGTTAAGTAAGCAGTATGTCAACACAATAACAAAAACAACGGCTCACCATTTTAATACAAAAATATGTTGATTGTTTAGCTTGGTCTTATGAAGAAATGCCAGGTTTAGCAAGGGAATTTGTGGAATACAAGCTTCCAATCAAGAATGTTTTCCACCCCCACAAGAAACCACCGAGGTGTTTCGATCTAGCACTAATGCCTAAGCTCAAGACCGAGATCGAAGAGCTTTTGGCTGCCGGCTTCATTAGAACTTGTAGATATCCCAATTGGTTATCTAATATTGTACTTGTAATAAAGAAAAATGGCCAACTCAGGATTTGTATAGATTTTAGAAACCTGAATTTGGCTACTCCAAAAGATGAATATGTAATGCCTATTGCCGATATGTTAATAGATGTTGTGGCAGGGCATAACTTTTAATCATTAATGGATGGATATTTTGGTTATAATCAAATTTTTATAGCTAGAGAAGATGTATCCAAAACTGCATTTAGATGTCCTGGAGCTTTAGGTATTTACGAATGGATCATCATGCCTTTTGACCTTAAAAATGCTGGTGCCACATACCAACGTGCCATGAACACAATATTCCATTATCTCATCGGACATAATATTGAAGTTTACATAGACGAAAATCATAGTTAAGTTGTCCACATTTGACTGCCACTTGAACGACTTGGATAAATCTGTCATTATCATACGCCGGCATAACCTTAAAATGAATCCCATAAAGTGTGCATTCGGCATCACTGCTGGAAATTTTCTGAGATTTTTGGTCCATGAAAGTGGTATTGAAACAGATAAAAACAAAGTCAGAGCAGTATGCGATACTAGCCCGCCAAGGAACATAATAAGTCCAATCCTTGTTGGGTAAAATAAAAGTTTTACAGCGTTTTATATCTAATGCCGTTGGAAAAATGAAATAATTCACTAAGCTTTTACATATCAAAGACAAACACAATTTCGTCTGGGGACATGAAGAACAAGCCTTCGAATAAGTAAAAAAGGCTTTGTCCTCACCTCCCGTCCTCATCCGCCTCGGGATAACAAATCACTATAATTATAGATCTCAACTATAGAGGACACAATTGGATCTTTATTAGCTCGAGATGCAAACGATAATACAGAACAACCCATATATTATTTAAGCAAAACTTTGAATAGCATAGAGGTTAGATATTCCCCAATTGAAAAGTTATGCTATGCCCTTGTACTTACATGTACAAAGTTAGAACATTATAAGTTACCCGGGAAGCTCTGATAATTTGTGATGTCA